CTGCGAATTTCCAACATCCTAATATACTTGAATATGTCTCTTTGTTGTTCTTTATATTTCTAGCCACCCACATTACAACTGATTTACTTCAGATTTCAAACAATCTGTGCACAATTGTACCATTGCGTAATACCACAAGCTTAAATTTACGAAAGTGTTGGTCACAAAGTTCACCTAGTGTAAACACCCGTATCACAGGGAAGATACACACATGTACACGGTTTTGCACACGAAGAAAACTCCGTGCAAAATTTACATGGCTTCATGAGATAACAACATTTTACTCTTTACATCTCTTGCAGTTCATCTATATTTCCTCAGAATGACGGAATTTATTCCAAAGTTCAGATGTACCTGCAAAATTTACAAGACAAAGATTATAAGTCTCAACAGGGACCTAGCTGGTCTCAATAATGCGTAATTTTAGAGAGAGAGAGAAGGAGAGATTATTCCCAACTTAAGATGAAATTTGCAGGACAAATATTGATTAGACAATAATGTTCATTACACACACACACACATGGCAGAGAGAGAGGGAGATACCCAAATAAATTCAGATGTAAATTACAAGTTTTTATTTCACATCCCTTCTGTTGAACTTCATTACTTGACATAACTGTGGACTGCAATGAATGAAAAATCATTGATAGTAAACAATAATATATTGTCTAAGACCCCCCTCCTTTTTTCTAAAAAAAATATCTATACATACCTATTGAATTTTCCATCTGATTAGCAATAGAATTATTGACAAAGTTATGTGCTACAGTGTTTGAAAGAAAAAAAACGTAACATGATCAAAATTCATTTAAAGTAACACTTAAGTTTGTTCATTTAAAAAAAAAAGAGTGTCAAGTAGTATCCATGAACCCCCAAAATCTGTACATTTATACTTATTATTCTTGAAAATGGCTAAGACAACAAAAGTTACATTTTAGTTATACATGAAAATGACAAAGTCCAGAAAAGTTATGTTTTAATTATACATGAAAGTGGAAAAGTTCAAAAAAGTAACATTTCAGTTATTTTAGTTATAACTTTTATGTACCTCAGAGCCTAGGCATAACTAAGTTATACTTTAGTTATAACTTAGTTATAACTTTTTTTCGGTATGGGTAACCAGATGAGGTGCATAAACATAATTAAGCAATGAAGAAACGACATCAAAGATTTTTAAAATGTATTTCCGTTGAACATGAATGATCAGCACTAAGAATTTTTCACAGTATTAGAATTAATTTTCAACACACACGGAATTATTTACTTTGTATTTATCAAATCATTAGATTCGTGTTAAGGTCAAGATCTAGTAAATGAAAGGTGCCTACAGATTTATCAAACTTGAGAAATAAATTCCTTTATTAATGCTTTACAACTTTAGCTTGGTCAAATTAGGTGTTTCGGGGCATAACTTGTGCGTAAACAAGATGAAAAACTGTATTTTAAACTGTCATTTTCAATGAAAAATTAAGAAAACCAGTCATGAATATGGGAGTTTTTTTATGATTCGGCAAAGGAAATGTATACAGATTGCCTACAGTCTCTCAGAAAACGGTAATTAGTATGTTCATGGCCTTTTCTTTAAATCAATATCAAATTTAATATAGGTATCCGGTTTACTTTTCATATGATTTCAAATTGAATGACATGAAAATACCTCATTTTCTTCATAATTCTGCTAAAGCCGTAAAGTACTGGAAAAAGAAAGTTGAAATTGATTATGACGTCATAATGGATCTAGCACCAAAAAATCAGTCTCAAGCTATTTACTAGATCTTGACCTTAAAAGTGCACTTCCAATGCTCCTAATTTTGCACGCTTTAAGACTCTTAAAATTGTCCATAAGACATCTTATATCTATCAAATAGGTATTTTTACATATATGTTTAAATTTTGAAAGCATCACTTTTTGACACGTTTCACCGTCAGTTGAATCTTAAACAACCTCACTTCCTGTAGCTGAATTTTTTAGGGGTCCTTTATCAGCAAATCCCCTCAGATTATCCTAGATTCCTCTCTGTTCTCATATATTACTCATAATTTACCTGTGTACTTTTCACAGTAATTTGATTAATTGACAGCCCATCTTTTTTTTCGACAGTGTTTTTCTTGCAGGTCTTGATATTGAATATTTTTAAAGCAGGTTCTGGATAACTCAGGCAATCTTTTTCTCTGTTTAAGCACTACTAGAAGTATTGTCCAAACAAAACTCTATAAGAATCAAACACTTTTTCTCATCAAATCATTATCTTATAAAATCAAATGATGAATTCCCAACCTTTTATCAAAAGTTTGCAGTTTTCTTCTGCTTTCAGGTCAAAAGGATTCAAAACATTATCTGAACCTCTGTAAATTTACTTTGGATTTTAAAATATTCTTCGTCTGATTTCTTGACTGTTACGTGCAATGAAAACGTTTGAAATGACATCAGGCCATGTTGTTTCGTGTTCACTAGTCCATGAATCAAAGGTGTGTTCGATAAGTAGGCTATTGTACTGTGTCACTGTTGGATATATGAATGGGCAAAATCCTATTATTATATTACAGCAACGTTGGATATATGAATGGGTTAAAGTTTTTTGTGGGCCCACAGTGGGGAATCTTTTTAAGTAAGACAAATAACTTGATAGTATTGAATAGTTTTAAGAAAACATCACCTCTGAACAGACAATAAAAAAATGACTAATATACAAGTACTTAAAAACAACAAAATGTTCATAAAACCTAAAAGTTATAGTACAAGATGATTACAAGCATAAAAGTAATCTAAAATTATAAAGTGCAAAAATAGAATCAACTTAATATCAACTTTAAAAATTCATAAAATACAGGTTGTGCCAATGCAAGTAGTACAAGGATAATAAATCATGATAATGTGTCCAAATTAAAATTACACGTTGTATGCATTTTAAAGAGATGAGTCTGAAGATCCCGTTTAAAAATTAAAAGTGACGTCTGAAAACGGAGAGCGTCCGGTAAACCATTCCACAAAGTTGCTGCTGCATGGTCGAATCGACGAGTTCCATATTTCTCTGTGACTACACGAGGTTTAACAAGTTGTTTTGAGTCACCAGAGCGTAGTGTCCTCGACGGTTTATAGACTATTACAAGTTCCTTTAAGTGTGATCATGAAGTATCCTAGAGTGTTTTGCAAGTGTATAAAAGGATCTTGTAATATGTTCTTAATTTAACTGGTAGCCAATGAAGAGATATAAAGACTTCAGAGATATGTTCATGGTTCTTAGTTTGGGTAACAATCCTCGCCTCTGCATTTTGAACCCTCTGTAGCCGTGATATATTGGTCTCTGTAATTCCATAGAGAAGCACATTGCCATAATCAAGTCTTAATATGATCTTATTCTGTAGCTAGTATATCACTTTTATTGGTGTGAGAGTTTTTACTGAATGATTTGTTTCACATGCCTTCTCTAACTGGGATGAAGAAATTAATTTTGAGCATGTGAATATTATATATAAGGTTGTAGGAGTTTTCTCCCTCTAAACAGAGCTCTAGTGTTTGATTACCTGAAAGCAGAGAATTGAAGTAATAATTTTGCCACATGTTTTTTTTTGTCTCTCAACGATTCAAATTATTTTATATCAAATTTTTCATTAAAAAAAATCTCCCCTTACATGCATATGATCTTTTCTTATTCTACATGTCTAAGACATTTCCTTCAAAGAGGCCCGGTATACTTTCTTATTTTTCGGATAGATAATCAATTTACATACAAGGGCTGTTTGAAAATTATTGAGACATTGTGTATATTTTGCTGTCTAATGAATGTTTTTCGGTGAAAAATTGAAAATACGTTTCATATACACTAAGAATTAGTAAAACATTTACAAATATTAAGTATTTTACAGTGCAGGGAACTAATTTTGTTACATAAACCAGCATCAGGATCAGCATAAGCAGGATCATGATAGAACTAGCATCAGCATTTAAAAAAACAGCATTACTTGGATCAGCATCAGCAAGCAAAGGATAGAACTAGCATTGACCAAAGTGAAAACAGATTAAGGAAGGTCATTTAATACAAATTACAAATAAAAATTACCCCCAAAATTAATTTTAATGGCTTAAAATAGCGATGCTGTTTTTGAATTATCTACTTCCGGCAGGATAATCCTACTTTCGGTAGCATTACTTGCATTGACCTAGTTTCAAACCAGCATCAGGATAAGGATCAAACCAGGATCAGGATAAGGATAACTAGCATCAAAATCAGCAAGCAAAGGAAGCATCAAAATCAGCAAGCATAGGAAGCACCAAAATCAGCATTGATGCTGTAACAAAATTATTTCCCTACACTGTATGTACAATAGTATATAAATACATTAATAGTAGGGGTACCCGGAGCAGTCAAGAAATCAGATATTAAAAATATGTAACACCAACGCTCTAACTCCCCATGGACCCATAATAAGAGCCAAAAAAATAGTTTATGTATATCATTTTTCAGCTTTATTTCAAATTCATTCTGTACAACTTTGTTAGAATTTTGATCAGGAATACAGAGATTATAAAAGAAACTATTTAAAAAGATTAAATATACAAATATTTTATTAATTTTCTTGGATTCATTAAATTTTGTTTGAATTCATCAACAAAAGTCATGCGGAATTAAAAAATAATAAAAGTGAGATTATTAATATACAATACCTAACTTCCTTGTATATATTTAGTGAAATACATGATATAAACAAAAATAAACTGGCATATTTGTATATAGATTCCTTTAAAAAGATGAACCTCTATCTAAAGGTCACATCTCTATAAAGGCCACTTTTAATGTTTCATGTAGGTGACTGCTAAATACAGGTTTGACTGTAATTATGATAAGCAATGGTGCCTTTTTCATTTGATCATAGACTAGTTATTAGCTTTATAATTCATGTAATAAAACAGACAGAAAAGACAATATAAAATGAGAAGAGGATATGTAAATGATAAATCCCTAACAGGTAAACTCGTACAAATATCATGTGACATTTAA